ATTGGTTCAAAAACTGAGGGGAAAAAACTAAAGCCAAGGCTGTGTACATAATAATATGCACAGATAAGTTATCATCATCGAAGTTGTGTGTGTGTGGTAGCCTATCCGTTCAAAATGTCTGGAGCCCCGAAGAGCGTGCTCTTCGCCAGAGCCACAGCCTCTCTATCGATGTTGTTGTTGTGAGTACTAAAAGAAAATCAAAAAGAAAAATGGAGACTTGGTGTTTAATTCATTGTTTGACTATATTGCTGGCTTCATCAAGAACGTGAGGTAAATCCCTATCCCTGGTCGTCGTTGTCATTTTTGTTATTATCATAACCATTATCATTACAATCAATAACTAAATTTGTTTTAAAGTAGAGTAATATGCTTAGTCACTAAGGATGAAACCCTTTTACATATTTCCAAGGAAATCAAAAGATTAGTTCTAAACTCCTTGCATATTTCTCAAAGATTGCCATTATCGTCATTATCATTATTATTCAAACAATGCTGGGGTATTAGCTTCGATATTGTTTTACCTTCCTTCTTTTTTTCTGTTTTCTTTTTTGTGTTTTGTTTCCATGTCCTCCTTTCTTGTCTTCTCCCTGTATTTTCCCTCTTGTTTGTTGTTTTACTATCTTCCTGCTTTCAGATGTATGCTCTTTTAACCTCAAGTTGTATTTCTTCCTCTTCCTCCTCTTCCTCTCCTTCTCCCCCTCCTCCTCGTCTTCCTCCTCGCCCTTCCCCCTCCTTCTTTTTCTCCACCTCCTCAGCTTAAAATGGAACACAGCTTTTATAAAGACAAAGAACATTCTTCTTTTTCTATGGGGTTTTCTTCTGTGTTTCATTTGTTCGGCTCCTGCGTTCTTTGATTCAAACCCCCACTCTCTTTCTTTTCACTTTTAATCTCTTCAAAGTCACGTTCGGGTGGTAGGTTGTTTGTCGGAGATTTCTTTCATTTGACACAAATGGATCTGGTCAAGGAATGGAGTCGCGAATAGGATAATCAGGCTGTTACCCAGTAGGAATATTTCAACAATGTGGTACGCCAAAACCTGCCAACGGTTGGGCCAATTTTTACTCTTAGTTCTATTTTTAACGATTTATGTCGACATGAATCAATTACATGTTCAGGAACAAACAATTTTACAGCATGGCACAGGCGGGCAAAGGCATTTATTCTGGGTTCGTTTATTTATTTATTTATTCATTACACAATTAAGAATCTCGATTCCAATTAGTTAACGTTTCCAAAACTCTTTCTGTTAAAAAAAAATCATGTTCGTTGGTAGTTTGTATCGTACCATACGTAATTTCAATGTGCTAAGTCAGAGGTTTAAAAACCGATGGACAAAGTGTTATATAACCGCGCTAGACTGAATGGAAAGTGTTACGATTTTTATTTAAATTTTAATACTTGAGAAATGTAACCGATTTTTTTTTTCGCAAGTAAAAGTATCACTCTTGAAAAAAGTAATTCAATAAATCTAGTACTTGTAATTCTTTCCACTGCTTTTTCCTTGGCATATTACAGGAATGTTATCTGTTTAGTGTATATTGGAAATCACACAACAGCTGCCCCTTCCCTTACACACTAGCATGCACCCACACTACAAAGTATGGTCATCAAAAGTTTATGCTAAACTGATTAAGTTTTCTGGATTATGGTGTCGAGAGGAGGAGCTAGCGTGGATTGTTTTAAAACCACTGGTGAAAGCGAAATTAAATGCCGCGGTAGGTTTTTAAAAATTGTACACTTTGAAGCCAAAATGTCTTTGACGTCACCTCAGTTCCTTTATTCTTTAGCGACACTCTTTAAAAAAGCTAAACGCGACTCGGATGGATTAAAGTCGAGTGAATTTGCCTTCATTCTTTTACAATCAGTTTTATTTTTCTTCCAATGTTCCCAGTGGACTAAAGATTTTGGGTGTTGTTTGTTATTGTTGTTGTTGTTGTTGTTGTTTTGTATTGTTTTGTATTTCATAAATTATCATTCCCATTCATTCTTTCTAAACTATAACCACAATAACCAGTGCAAAAAATATCAGCTAAGCATGGAATTAAGTAGACAGAGCATTTTAGTAAATACATAAAACAAATGTTAAACCTTCATTAAAATCAGTAGTGTATACCCGTCACAGCTAGGCATCCTATGAAAATATGAGGATATTCTTTATTTAGAACTATAGTACTTGAGCAACCCTTTGGTGCAAAATTGACCTACTTGTAGAAGCTTAAGGTCCTTTTTCGAGGTTTCATTATTAGATCATCTATTTTCTCTCTACCCGGTGTTTCGTCGGGAAATCAAAGCCTCCCATTGGAAATGACCTACGTTGTGCCAACGACAAGGTCGATGTTTCTCTTTTTGCTGCTGCTGCTGCTACTACTACTACTGCTGCTAC